CTCCTATTTACGACGGTCAGTGTCCCAGGGGGTCACTTCATCCCCTTTTGCGACTTCTGACAAGCAAAGCCAATGGGGGAAAGCCAGATTCACTTAACGATCGAGTGATTCGCTGAACAACTCTGGCAAGAAAGGTCGTCAAATGGGGCAAAACTCACTTAAGCAATGTCTCACTTAGCAACAGAAAGTTTGGGCTCAATTGTGGACGTAAGTTGAGGACTACCTGTATTTGTTCTGCAGGGATAGAAAAGCAGAGAAATTGTTGTTGTTGTAAATTAATTTAACTGCATTCATTTTTCTCATATGTTTCTGCACTTCAGATAATATTAGTGAGCTGAGTGTGCTAGGTACTGTTGTGATTCCTCACCAGCCAGTGGACTAAGGAATCAGATGAGGAGGAGGAGGGGCCTGGAGTGACATCAGAGTCAGAGGAAGGCTGTGAGGAGCTCCAAGATTCACAGTCGGAGGAGGAGCCTGGCCCCTCTACTCGCGCTCAAGCTGAGACATAGCTGAGACATAGCTGTGCTGGGAGCCTGAGTTGGACAGCGATGAAGAACAGCTGGGACAAATCCCGGATGCACGAATGCGCAGACAGGAGAAGCGAGTAGGACAGAGGAATGGAATGAGGCGGCTCCAAAGGCAAAGGAGAAGGCATTAGGAAGCCACGCCTTGGCTGAATTATAAAAGAGAAGGTGTGGGAAGTGCTGGTTGCCAAAGGCAACCGTTTGTGTTGAGGATTGAGTTTCTGTGGACTGCATGTTTGCCTTGGACATTGACTCAGGTCTGTGAGAATAAAAGGGGTTGTTTTTTTCTTGCGGTTCCTGCCTGTTTCTTGGAAGAGGGGTTTCTTCTTGTGAGCATAACAAGGACTCACGCAGGCTGGGACAGAACAGGTACATAATTACGCATATACAGGTAGTCCTCAATTTACGAACCACAATTGAGGCCAAATTTTTCACTGCTAAGCAAGACAGTGGTTAAGTGAGTTCTAACTTATTTTACACCCTTTCTTGCCAGTTGTTAAGTGAATCACTGCAGTTGTTAAGTGAGTCACACGGTTGTTAAGCGAATCTGGCTTCCCCATTGACTTTGCTTGTCAGAAAGTCGTAAAAGGGAATCATGTGACCCCAGGACGCTGCAACCGTCATAAATATGAATCGGTTGCCAAGCTTCTGAATTTTGATCACACGACCATGGAGGTGCTGCAACGGTCGTAAGCGTGAAAAATGGTCCTAAGTCACTTTTTTCAGTGCCTTACAGATCACTAGACAAACGGTTGTAAGTCAAGGACTACTTGTATAATGGGAAGAGTGGAGAGACAGGCAGAAATTATTAATTATCTATTCTTCTTAGGAGTGGATTGTGCATTTTTGCTGAAAAGCCATTTCTCTTTCTCTTTTCGCACGCCACATGCGGGAAACAGTTGCTATTTATTTAACATTATCAAACAGCCAATAAATTAGCACAAAAATACAAATCTATGCAACATAACAATGTAATACTTGAATATTCAACGCTTGACTTCTCAAGGCAAAATTGAAATCCCGAAATAGGCCAGAGTGCCAAATTTGTTTTCACCCAACAATAGGACGCAAAGCAGATTCCACTTCCAAGCAGTTTGAATTGTGTTGTAGTAAGAATTTAGCAAGCAGAAAACTGGGGGAATACAGGGAGTCCTCGACTTACGACAGTTCATTTAGTGACCATTTAAAGTCACAACGACACTGAAAAAAGCGACTTAGGACCATTTTTCACACTTACGACCTTTCTAGCATACCCATGATCGCGTGATCAAAATTCAGACACTTGGCAATCGACTCATGACGGTCGCAGCGTCCTGGAATCATGGAATCCCCTTTTACGACCTTCTAACAAGTGATGGGGAAGCCAGATTCACTTAACAACTAGGTTATTAACTTATCAACTGCAGTGATTCACTTAACAACAATGGCAAGGTTGTAAAATGGGGCAAAACTAACTTGGTCGTAAGTCGAGGACTACTTATAGTTGTAACTGAGATTCCACTGCCTGTTAGCCACAGGTTAAAGAAGTATATGTAAGGGTTTAAGTCAGGGGCAGGCAACCTTGGCTTTTTTATGACTCGTGGACTTCAACTCCCAGAATTCCTGAGCCAGCCACGCTGAGGGGAAAGGGAGAGGTTTCCAAGCTGAGCCATGCTGGCTCAGGAATTCTGGGAGTTGAAGTCCACGAGTCATAAAAGAGCCAAGGTTGCCTACCCCTGGTTTAGGTCTATACATATGTTGTATATAGTATGTTTTTAAATGTGTGTTATGTATGTGTACACTTGAGAGCAAGCAACTAAATTTCATTTTTAATGTGTGCCATTGTGCCCACAGGAAAAAAAATGACAATAAAGGTTGTTATCATTATAGGCAGTCCTCGACTTACAGACGCAATTGGGACCAGAATTTCCATTACTAAGCAAGGCAGTCGTTAAGTAAGTTGTGTCTGATTTTACCACCATTTCGGCAGAATTGTTAAGAAAATCACTGCAAGGTGTTCAGTGAATCACACCGTCATTAAGTGAATCCAACTTCCCCCATTGATTTTTCTTGTCGGAAGCTGGCTGGGAAAGTTGCAATTACACGATCCTATGTTGCTGCAACTGTCATAAATTCATGCTGGTTGCTGGGTGCCCGGACTGCGTAGACGCTGTGACGGTTGTTAAGCGAGTGGACGGATTGTAAATCAAGGATTATCTGCTGCTGTAACTTGGATTGCTTGCTAAATGGATGGTTGTAATCCTAAAATTATCTGCACGCTTCTGTCCTTCATATTTCCCGACCTTAAGAGCTTGTTGATGTGTGGACTTCAATTCCCAGAATTCCCCAGCCAGCTTGCTGGCTGGGGAATTCTGGGAGTTGAAGTCCACACTCCAAAAGCTCCCAAGACTGGGAGACCTTGAGCTAAAGGCATCCGATTGAGCAAAATAGTTACTGATTACTGATTACCTCCAGTATCTGTTCAAGTCACAATTCATGGTTTATCCTGCAGCAAGACACTCCATTAAGATTATTTGGTAAACCAGCTTATTCCCCCAGAAGGGGGTTTTGTCCTGTGATCTCTTTCCACGCAACTAATTGTCTTTTTCTTCCATGTTCTACGCACACTGGGCACCCCAACTACTAGAGGGGAAATAGTTTTCTTTACTTTTGTGAAATGTTATCGTTTAGCGGGAACCTTGAGATCATTCTAGACCAGGGCTTTTCAACCAGTGGTACGGGTACCATCTGTGCTACATTGGCACCTGGCAGGTGGTACGCGACCATCCTAGAAAAGTGGTAGCAGGGGAGGGGAATGAGAGTGCCGCCGGGCGGGCAGGCAGGTGTCTTGCTCGGCTGTGCCTTGGGTGCTTTTTTCAGTGCCATTGTAACTTCGAACAGTCACTAAGCGAACTGTTGTAAGTCGAGGACTACGTGTACTTCATCACTTTTTTCCTTTTTTTTTTTTTGGGTCATCAAGTTTTTGACACCTTGCTAGGCAACTGGTGGTACTCGGATATTGCCATATCCTAACAGTGGTACAATGGGTGAAAAGGTTGAAAAGCCCTGTTCTAGACCAGTGATGGCGAACCTTTTAGAGACCGAGTGCCCAAACTGCAACCCAAACCCCACTTACTTATCGCCAGGTGCCAGGGGCTGTGGTCATGGCAGACTGGGTGGGTGTGGCCAAGGTAGGCGGGGTCACCTCGATGTTGCTTGTGGGGAGGGACGCCTGTGGGGGCCGGATGGGTTGGGGGAGATCCAGGGGGTCTCTGGCAGATGGGGCGGTGGGCAGGAGGCTCGTCCTGTGGGATGAGGCATGGCAGGGCGGGGGTGCCATTGTCACAGGGCAAGGTGAGGCAGGGGCCAGGGCGGCGGCTGCCTGACACCATCAACCCTGCACACAGAGGCCAGCGAGCGCATGGGGGCTGACAGTGTCCATCAGCAGCCACAGCCTACCAGCCCCTCGATTGGCGCGCTCTGGGGCTCCGCAGCCCGCCACCAGCAGTTCAAAGAAGCCGCCTCTGAGCTGGACGGCCCGCCGACAGCTGAGAAGGCGATGCAGTGGGTGGTGCCCAGGAAAAGGAGAGCATGCGAGGCCAGGAGGGATGGGAGGGAGGGAGGGAAACCAGCCGTGCTGGGATGAATCCAGCCACGTGGGACCTCAGCCAGTTAGCGGGTGGCTGGTTGAAGAGGGACGGTTGCCATCTCCGGGGCATGGCGCGCGTGCCCACAGAGAGGGCTCTGAGTGCTGCCTCTGGCACACGTGCCATAGGTTCGCCACCACTGATCATTCTAGACCAACCCTGCAAAACCCACCTTAAACATCTCTGAGCTCTCCAGCTTCCGATTGGCAGTGATGCCCCTCGCCTCTCCGGATCACAGGTTCCAGTTCTCTTCTTTTGACTTTGGGTCAGTCTCACCCACCTCACAAGGGTGGTTGTGGTGGCAGGGAAAAATAGGAGGAAGGAAGGAAGGAAGGAAGGAAGGAAGGTTGTGTCCACCCCCTTGAATTATTTACAAAAATAATAAACGCGGGAACTGAATCAATCAACGTTAAAATCAGGCAAGCTCACGGGTGATATATATATTTTTTGTAATAGTTTAATTTACATGTGCACTTTTTTAAAAAAAAAAAAAATCAACCACATCCCCTTTCAAGTTCTCTTTGACAGGCAGGCGTGGGGCCCTCCCCACCCCCCCAATTCCTGCCCCTCCCTCCTCCCCCCCCCCAGCTTGGAATTATGGCACATGTTGTCTCTCAACCAGCAGCAACGGGGTTGATGGAAAAGTCATTTTAACCGGGAGAAGGTTTCCATCTGTAGTGGGTAGAAATTGTGTCCTGAGGTTTGATCGGTCCCAAAAGGGGTTGAGTCTCTCTACGGTCCCGTCCCAGGGCAAAGAGGGAAGAAATGTAAGGATGTGGGAGAGTGTGATCGTTGTTGTTGTGGGGGTGGTGGGTGGGTGGGGTTTTTTGTTTTTGTTTTTGTTGGTTGGTTTACCATCTCGTGCTTTTGCATTCCTGCCCCGGTGTAGGAGAGAAGAGCAGGAAGAAGGAGAGAAGCAGGATCCAGTGGAGGAAGGAAGGAAGGACACCAGAAGATTTCTGTGCTGTTGTTTTATTGCTGTTTGGACTTCCGAGAGAGCCTTTGGACCAGCTTATAAAGGAGGCCAAAATGCTAAAAAAAAAAGAGAGAAGGAAAGACAGAATGAACAAGCATGGCTCTACTTACCTACGTTGGGAATAGGGCTTCTCAAACTGGGCGACTTTTAAGACCTGCAGACTTCAACTCCCAGAACTCCCCCAGGACTGTGTGAAAACAAAATCAGGAATTGCTTGAGACATTATAACAGGGGTCTTCAAACTTGGCCCTTTTATGACTTGTGGACTTCAAATCCCAGAATTCCTCAGCCAGCATAGTCAGGCACATAGGAATATCCTGAGGTAAATCAAACAGTATACAGAACACACAGGGGGGAAAAAGGCAGGAAAAAAGGGAAACACCCCCTTCATACCCACAGCAACCAATCAGAGTGTAGATTGCCTCATGCATGAGTCAGCCCTCTCTAATTCAGGGGTCTTCAAACTTGGCCCTTTTATGACTTGTGGACTTCAACTCCCAGAATTCCTCAGCCAGGCACATTTAAGTTTACATTTTTATCATCATCCAGAAAGGAAAAACACAAGATAGTGACATAGGAATAGGAAATAGGACTCCATTTAGTTTGTCATATGTCTTGTGTGTCTCCTTTTTTTCCGCCCTTTTTTCCCTTTGCGGGGGAAGTATGGGTGTCGTTGGTTAGTCTCACATCTAACGGAGTACGTACTCAGTCGGGAGAGATTAAGTCGCACGGACCGACTCCTTAAGACCCTCGACTTCAGGTGTTCAGTATTTTCCCGGTTCAAAAAAAGACCCCTGCATTATAAAAAAAAGTTTATATTATGCCAATCTGGAACCAGCATCCAGATTTATTTATTTATTTGTTGGTTTGTTTTTATAGTGGTACCTCGGTACTTGACTGTTTCAAAACTCAATGAATTTGGGACTCGACGCATTTTGAGGTGAAAGTGTTGTCCCAGTAATTGGCCTTTGTTCAGTACTTGACACGCTGCTATAGGAAGAGGGGGACGGCTATGGGGAACGGACAGGAAGTCAGCCCTGCAGGGAAGGTCGCTGACATAGGAAAAGGAACAGACAGAAAGTTCTTCCTGGGCAAAACAAAGGGTGACAGGGTAAATCACATGGTGTGTGTCCTTTTTAGTGCCCATTGCTCCCTCTAGAACCAATTGACGCCAAGTACTGAGGTACCACGGTATAGTGTCTTCTTCACACATTATTGCAGGGGTCTTAAAAGTCGGCAACTTTTAATCTTGTGGACTTCAACTCCCAGAATTCCTCAGCCAGCATGCCTGGCTGCCTGAGGAGTTCTGGGAGTTGAAGTCCACAAGTCTTAAAAGTTGCCGAGTTTGAAGACCCCTGCATTATTGTGTTCGATCGAGGAGCGTTAGGATGAAAAGAGTAGTAAAATATTTATTAGATTTAATAAAGTAAGCCTCTGGACCAGCTTGTAAGGGAAGCCGGGGTGCTAAAAAGAGAGAGAGAAAGACAGAATGAGAAAGCACAGCCCTCCCCACGTTGGGGACAGGGTTTCTTCAAACTTGGCAACTTTAATCTTGGCAACAACATGCTAGAGCAAGGGTCTTCAAACTTGGGCCTTTTATGACTTGTAGATTTCAACTCCCAGAATTCCTCAGCCAATGTGCCTGGCTGAGGAATTCTGGGAGTTGAAGTCCAAAAATTTTAAAGTTGCCAAGTTTTAAGACCCATGCTTTAGATCAATTAAAGCAGGGGTCTTCAAACTTGGCCCTTTTATGACTGATGGACTTCAACTCCCAGAATTCCTCAGCCAGGCACATTGGCTGAGGAATTCTGGGAGTTGAAGTCTACAAGTCATAAAAGGCCCAAGTTTGAAGGCCCCTGTGCTAGGGCAAGACTTATTTAATTGTATTTACATGTCAAATTTCGAAATAGCCCATCTCACCCACAAAGCGACTATAAAAATTGTCTTTAGCCTGAGGTAACAGCGTTCCATGCGGCTGGGCGTATAGTCATGCCGGCCACGTGACCACGGAAGCGTCTTCGGACAATGGCTAAGAAACGGAGATAAACACCGTTCCCTAGTTGGACACAACTGAAAAAGGGGAACCTTTATCTTTTTAGCCTAATCCAGGAGGGCCAGGCCTACATTCCTAGCTTCATTCCAGGCTATAAAAACACTGTAGCCAGTGGTGGGATTCAAATATGTGAACAACCGGTTCTCTGTGTGGATGCTGCTTCCGGAAGTCCATTCTGGGCCTGGGCAACAAAAAATTAGCTACCGGTTCTGCTGAAATGGTGCGAACTGGCTGAATCCCACCACTGGAGAAAGGAAAGTATTTGATGAGGAAGGAAGGAAAGACAGAAGGAGGAAAAGAAGGAAGGAAGGAAGGAAGGAAGGAGGGAGGGATGGAGGAAGAGGAAGGGAGGGATGGAGGAAAGGAAGGAAGGAAAGTATTTGATGGGGAAGGAAGGACAGAAGGAGGAAAAGAAGGGAGGGAGGGAGGCAGTGGTGGGATTCAAATATGTGAACCACTGGTTCTCTGTGTTGATGCCACTTCCGGAAGTCCATTCTGGGCCTGGGCAACAAAATATTAGCTACCGGTTCTGCAGAACTGGTGCAAACTGGCTGAATCCCACCACTGGCCATAGCAAACCACGGTGTGTCGGCACTCACCTGGACAGCGATGTAAGCCACACCAAGGTAGGCTGCTATGCAGAGAGCCAGCAGGAGGTCGAAGATGGCCGGCTTGACCCTGGAAGACACAAGCCATGTTCCCACAGCCTGTCACGAGACACTGGAGTTTCCCTTCCTTCTGAGTTGCTTGTTCGCATGTCTGCTCCTCGGAGACCTATCAGCTCTTCTGGCGTGCCCCCAGCCCCAAAAGACAGGGCCAACTTTGATCGTTGTGAGCCACCCAGAATGACTGAGAGTCGGGCAGCATACATGTTTGATACATCTACACACTACTAAAACTCTCCTGTCTGTCGCTTCCAGTTAGCCCCTATGGCATTAGGCAGGAACACGTTTTGAATTAGATGATCTCAAATCTGCCGACTTTAAAAAAAAACACGTGCTTTTTGTACCCCAGGTCTTAAAGGAACGGCCCGGGACAAGTCAAACTCCAAAATACTTTTTTGCTGTTGCTCCATGCTTACCTATATGCATTCATGACTTGCTTCAGCTGGTCATAGAAAACAAACTCAGGATCCCTGCATACAAAAGGAAAGAACGGGAAGGTTTAAAAGAGCTGTGGTTTTTGAAGGCAGAATTGAAAACCCAGGGATGACCTTATAGTCCAGGGGTAGGCAACCTTGGCCCTTTTATGACTCGAGGACTTCAACTCCCAGAATTCCTGAGCCAGCCACGCTGAGGGGACAGGGAGAGGTTTCCAAGCTGAGCCATGCTGGCTCAGGAATTCTGGGAGTTGAAGTCCACGAGTCATAAAAGAGCCAAGGTTGCCTACCCCTGCCTTATACCAAGTGAAAACACATGTCTAGGCCAGAAGACATACAGATATTCCTCGACTTACCACCATTTGTTTAGTGACCATTCACAGTTATATGACGGCCCTGAAAAAAGTGACATGACAGTTCTTCACATGACTGTCGTAGCATGCAAGGTCCTTGGTTCCGTCTGAGCTTGGTGGTTTTCTTGCAGACGTTTCATTACCCAACTAGATAACATCATCAGTGCTAGGAGAAAGTGGGGTGTGGAGGAGGAGGAGGAGGAGGAGGAGGAGGAGGAGGANATTCCGGATCTCCTTACTTTCCGCCGCGCCCTCAAGACATGGTTTTTCCAGCAAGCGGGCCTGACCTAGGGAGGATTTTAGGTAGGGATAATTTTAAAAGTATTTTAATCGGAAACACAGCTGGTAATATTTGGTTTTAATTCGGCTTTTATCGGGGTTTATTTTTTTTGTATTTTTGTATTTTTGTATTTTGTATTTTGTGTATATTATTTGTTTTTAATATGCTGTGAACCGCCCTGAGTCCTATGGGAGAAGGGCGGTATACAAATTAAAATAATAATAATAATAATAATAATAATAATAATAATAATAATAATAATAATAATAATAAAAAGAGAGAGAAAAAGACAGAATGAGAAAGCACAGCCCTCTCCATGTTGGGGACAGGGTTCCTTCAAACTTGGCAACTTTAATCTGGTTGGTCACTGGGCCAAACAACATGCTAGAGCAGAGGTCTTCAAACGTGGCCCTTTTATGACTTGTGGACGTCAACTCCCAGAATTCCTCAGCCAGCGTGCCTGGCTGAGGAATTCTGGGAGTTGAAGTCCATAAGTCTTAAAGTTGCCAAGTTTGAAGAGCCCTGCTTTAGATCAATTAAAGCAGGGGTCTTCAAACTTGGCCCTTTTATGACTTGTGGACTTCAACTCCCAGAATTCCTCAGCCAGCCCTGGCTGCCTGAGGAATTCTGGGAGTTGAAGTCCACAAGTCATAAAAGGGCCATGTTTGAAGACCCCTGTGCTAGGGCAAGACTTATTTAATTATATTTACATGTCAAATTTTGAAATAGCCCATCTCACCCACAAAGCGCCTATAAAGATTGTCTTTAGCCTGAGGTAACAGCGTTCCGTGCAGCTGGGCGTATAGTCATGCCGGCCACGTGACCACGGAAGCGCCTTCGGACAATGCTGGCTCCCTTGGCTAAGAAACGGAGATAAACACCGTCCTCTAGTTGGACACAACTAGAAAAGGGGAACCTTTATCTTTTTAGCAGCCTAATCCAGGAGGGCCAGGCTTACATTCCTAGCTTCATTCCAGGCTACAAAAACGCCAGTGGTGGGATTCAAATATGTGAACCACCGGTTCTCCGTGTGGATGCTGCTTCCGGAAGTCCATTCTGGGCCTGGGCAACAAAAAATTAGCTACCGGTTCTGCCGAAGTGGTGTGAACTGGCTGAATCCCACCACAGGAGAAAGGAAAGTATTTGATGAGGAAGGAAGGAAAGACGGAAGGAGGAAAAGAAGGAAGGGAGGGAGGGAGGGAGGAAGAGGAAGGGAGAAAGGAAGGGATGGAGGGAAGGAAGGAAAGTATTTGATGGGGAAGGAAGGAAAGACAGAAGGAGGAAAAGAAGAAATGGAGGGAGGGAGGCAATGGTGGGATTCAAATATGTGAACCACCGGTTCTCTGTGTGGATGCTGCTTCTGGAAATCCATTCTGGGCCTGGGCAACAAAAAATTAGCTACAGGTTCTGCCGAAGTGGTGGGAACTGGCTGAATCCCACCACTGGCCATAGCAAACCACCCTGTGTCGGCACTCACCTGGACAGCGACGTAAGCCACACCAAGGTAGGCTGCTATGCAGAGAGCCAGCAGGAGGTCGAAGATGGCCGGCTTGACCCTGGAAGACACAAGCCATGTTCCCACAGCCAGTCATGAGACACTGGAGTTTCCCTCCCTTCTGAGTTGCTCGTTCGCATGTCTGCTCCTCGGAGACCTATCAGCTCTTCTGGCGTGCCCCCAGCCCCAAAAGACTTTGATGGTTGTGAGCCACCCAGAATGACTGAGAGTCGGGCAGCATACATGTTTGATACATCTACACACTACTAAAACTCTCCTGTCTGTTTGTCCCCTCCAGTTAGCCCCTATGGTGCATTAGGTAGGAACACGTTTTGAATTAGATGATCTCAAATCTGCCGACTTTAAAAAAAATATGTGCTTTTTGTACCCCAAGTCTTAAAGGATCGGCCCGGGACGAGTCAAACTCCAAAATACTTTTTTGCTGTCGCTCCATGCTTACCTATATGCATTCATGACTTGCTTCAGCTGGTCGTAGAAAACAAACTCAGGATCCCTGCATACAAAAGGAAAGAACGGGAAGGTTTAAAAGAGCGGTGGTTTTTGAAGGCAGAATTGAAAACCCAGGGATGACCTTATAGTCCAGGGGTAGGCAACCTTGGCCCTTTTATGACTGGTGGACTTCAACTCCCAGAATTCCTGAGCCAGCCATGCTGAGGGGACAGGGAGAGGTTTCCAAGCTGAGCCATGCTGGCTCAGGAATTCTGGGAGTTGAAGTCCACGAGTCATAAAAGAGCCAGGGTTGCCTACCCCTGCCTTATACCAAGTGAAAACACATGTCTAGGCCAGAAGACATACAGATATTCCTCAACTTACAACCATTTGTTTAGTGACCATTCACAGTTATATAACGGCCCTGAAAAAAGTGACATGACAGTTCTTCACATGACTGTCGTAGCATGCAAGGTCCTTGGTTCCGTCTGAGCTTGGTGGTTTTCTTGCAGACGTTTCATTACCTAACTAGGTAACATCATCAGTGCTAGGAGAAAGTGGGGTGTGCGGGAGGAGGAGGAGGAGGAGGAGGGGGAGGAGGAAAAAAGGGACTGTGGGTTCCTTGGTGCTCTCTGAGTTTGGTTGTTTTATTGCAGAAGTTTCATTACCCAACTAGGTAACATCATCAGTGCTAGGAGAAAGTGGGGTGTGCGAGAGGAGGAGGAGGAGGAGGAGGAGGAGGAGGGGGAGGAGGAAAGGGACTGTGGGTCCCTTGGTGCTCTCTGAGCTTGGTTGTTTTATTGCAGAAGTTTCATAACCCAACTAGGTAACATCATCAGTGCTAGGAGGAAGTGGGGTGTGCGAGAGGAGGAGGAGGAGGAGGAGGAAAGGGACTGTGGGTTCCTTGGTTCCCTCTGAGCTTGATGGTTTTCTTGCAGACGTTTCATTACCCAACTAGGTAACATCATCCATGCTAAATAAACACAGAGACTGAGTGGCCAGTTGAACACCTGGGAGCACCGTCGCCATCCTCACCGCTTGTCTGCCTTCACGTAATGCTGTTTGACGTCTTTCAGGTAGCGGCTCATGTAGTATTCCAAGGTGTTGATGAACGTGCTGTCTTTGTCCACCAGCTGGGCAGCCCTTGGTTGACTGCTGAGCCAGTCCATCACCGACTCCATCTGCTCCTGCTGAATCTGCTGCAGAAACAGGGGAGAGGGGGAGAGGAAGTCGGCCAGTTCTGCAGACGAAGACCCCGACACATACTCCTTTCTCTCTCCCCCGTCTTCTCTCTCTCTCTCTCTCTCTCTCTCACACACACACACACAGCCTCCTAGCCAGGAGCTTACCATATGTTCCGTGAAAATCTGGAGGTCAGCAGGCACACCCTAATGAGGGAAGGAAGAACAAACAGGGATGGATGAAAATCCAGTTGACCACAACGTCCATCCGTCTCATCACAAAGCTGAATGTCTACAGACAGCTGCAGTTATCCCTTCTCGTGTGAGTCCTGGGCTCCGCACCGGAGATGCGTCAAACAACTGGAGAACTTTCTCATGTCTGCTCTCCGCTCCGTCCTTGGCACTTGTTAGCAGGAGTGCGTCTCCAACCTGGAGGCCTGGGGTTGTGTGGAACGGCGTTCCCCAACCTTTTCAGCTTTGCAGACCGGCAGGGCAGGGAAAGAGGACGGTTCCATGCGAGCGGCCGGCGAGCATGCACATGCCATTCAATCCCTGCAAGCAGCGGGCACGCGCTCCGGCCGCTCAAAAAATGGAACTGCATGCATGCACATGTGCCGCCTCCGCAAGTGGAGCTTCCCGCACGCTCACCCGTCGCTTCCACAGCCCGCTTCTGAATGGCCGTGGCCCGGTACTGGATTGGGGATCCCTGGTATGGAACCCACCAGCACGGAGTCTCTGATGATCAGAGCCCAAATGACGTGTTGGATTGGTGGACGATGGGTGTCCCCAGTGGGGTAAAAGGGAAATTAACTATGTGTTTCTTGCGCAAAAACCTGAGCTAGCTTCGCTTCTTCTGTGCCTGTGTATAGATCTATCAGTAAAGTTATACCCTGGGTAAAAATAATGCCCCAGGAATTTCTTTTGCTGCATATGCCAATGGGACAGTTGACAAACAGTTCAAGCAAATTGGCAGTAGGTAAAAGTCAGCAGAATAAAAGGTGGGCTGAACTTAGCTTGGTTAGGGTCAGCCTGGTCATCTCCTACAAGGCCATTCCCACAGACCATCATCCGCTGATCGGGGGGGCAGCGAAGTGTGTGGTGAAGCAACACCAGACCAAGCGATTCCACCCTCCGCAGGTGTTTCCAGCAGCCATTTTATCCACCCTAAGAAAAGACTCACCTTCTCTGTCAAGTTGTAGATCACCCTCGTCAGAGCTTCTACAATGATCCGGGTGTTGCGGGTCAGGATCCGGAGGTTCACCCGTGGCCTGCAAGAAGGAAAACAGCAGCCATGTCAGAACTAGGTTCCTAGGAAAGGGGAGAGGCTGACGGGAGGCTTCTGAGACTACGGCGCTTCACTCGCACCCACGGCCCACACGCGACCGATCCCAGTTTAGGCGATCAGATCAACATCTGGGGGGATAGCTCGTCAGGCGACCTGTAGAAGGTGCTTGCCTTGAACACTGTTCGGAAGAGGTATTGGGAAGGCTGCTGTAGCAATTCTTTAAAGCAGCCACCTCTTTTTTCCCACCCGGGGTTGTGTTTTCAAAGAATGCACAATCCTAACGCTCTATAGCAGAGGTCCCCAACCTTTTGGGCACCGGGAACCGGTTCCGTGGAGAGAGGTTTTTCCACAGACCGGAGAGTGCGTGGTTTTGTGTGCTGCCTGCATCCCGTGGATGGGGCTGTGCTTGTTTGTGCGTACCGGTTGTTGGCATGCTGCGGCCCGGTACTGGTCCACAGACCCCTGCTCTAGCAAATTGTCAGGCTGCAAAAACTAGGAAAGACACATCAAGTGTCTTCTAAACTGTGTAGTAACTGTGAGAGGGATCTTGCAGTCCTAGTGGACAATCACTTAGATAGGAGCCAGCCGTGTGCTGCAGCTGCCAAAAAAAGCCAACACAGTGCTAGGCTGCATGAACAGAGGGATAGAATCAAAATCATGTGAAGTGTTAATACCACTTTACAAGGCCTTGGTAAGGCCACACTTGGAATACTGCATCCAGTTTTGGTCACCACGATGTAAAAAAGATGTCAAGACTCTAGAAAGACTACAGAGAAGAGCAACAAAGATGATCAGGGGACTGGAGGCTAAAACATATAAGTAACGGTTGCTGGAATTGGGCATATCTAGTTTAACGAAGAGAAGGACGGGGGGGGATATGACAGGAGTTGGACTTGATGATCTCCAAGGACCCTTCCAACTTTTACTATTATTATTATTATTATATTATATTATTATTATTATTATTATTATTATTATTATTATTATTATTATACACTTTCTTCTCCTGTTCTTCATCAGGAAACAGAAATCTTTCTCAGCTAACGCAAACTACTGGCACCACTATATCTACACAGCGAGTCCTCAACTTATGACTTGTCGCTTAGTGACGGAAGTTAGGACAGACCTCCCCGAAAGCTCCAGGTAATCCTCGACTGGGGATTGGGGACCTCTGCTCTGCAAGTGTAGGCAGTCCTTGACCTATAATGGATCTCCTAAAAGCTACTTACGACCTGATTCAAAAGTAAGAACACCCACTTCCCCGTGACCGTGGGGCTGCATTTTGGATGCTCAGCAACTGGCCTGCATTTATGGCCCTTTGCCGTGTTCTGCGGTCCCCTAGCCACAATTTATGACTTTTGGCATTTAGTTCTGATTTCTGGCCAAACCTGGCCCATAGTGGGTTTGCTTAATGACTGATTCCTTGGAGTTTTGTGTGTGTTGTTGCTGATCTCTTGTTCTGTGTTGTGACTTCTGCTTGGAAACCCGGAAACTCTGACCATTGGACTGGCTGACAACGTTGCTTGGATGTTCAAAGATCTCGGACTGTATCTTGGCTTCCCTTTTGAAACTGCTCAGGCAAGTGTGAATTCAGGTTTATGATGTATATGTCATTCCTTGTTATCTCCGTGGCCTCGAGTAAATTCCTCTCCTAATCAGATTGTATGTGAAACTACTTGCAGCCAGAGGCGGCTGAAGGTGTGTGTGTCTTCGTTTGGAGGCTGGCCAGAAACGTGGGAGCATTTGGGAGCAATTAAAGGGCGGTTCGAATTGCCAGCTGACTGCATTGCCTCGGTGCTGTGCCCTGGGTGATCACACTGACGTGCCTCAAGGGGAGAGGAGGGGACTTCTCAGACAACAAGGGGCAGCACAAGGCCTCCCCACCCCACCCTCTGCCGATGCATTGGCCCGCGCAGAGCCTCCTCACCCAGCAGCTGACCTGACGTCCATGATGCTGTTGCGCAGGCCTTCGCGGTGGCTCTCCAGGTGGGAGACCGTGAAGGCCGGGAGGCGGCGGATGGCAAAGCGTTCGTGCTCCCAGGCCAGCATGTCTTCGGCCAGGTTGATCTTCTTGTGCACCATGGAGAACCTCACCTCTGGGAAATGGTGGGCAACAACCTGGAGGAACGGAAGGTGGACCACAGGGTCAAGAGAGGAAGCAGCGCAGGTGTCAACACTGCTGGCGTGCCTGGCTAGGGAATTCTGGGAGTTGAAGTCCACCAGTCATAAAAGGGCCAGGTTTGAAGACCCCTAAGATAGAACAACAATCAGCCTTAGAATTGACAATGAAGAGATCTAAGTGCTTAGAGCAGGGGTCTTCAAACATGGCCCTTTTAGGACTTGTGGACTTCAACTTCCAGAATTCCTCAGCTAGCATGCCTGGCTGAGGAATTCTGGGAATGGAAATCCACAAGTCCTAAAAGGGCCAAGTTTGAAAATGCCGATAGAGAGCTTTGCATTCGTTCTTCTTTAAAGCAGTCAGCAGATGGAGCTATTGCTCCGGCGTTACATGTAGTCCTTGACTTATGACGGGTTGCTGAGCAACTGTCCAAAGTTATGAACCCTCCAAAAGGCACTTACAGCACGGTTCGGACGTTCCAAGGGGCACTCAAGCGGTCACACGATTGCAGCAACTGGCCTGCCTTTAAAGCAGTGTCCTGCAGTTCGCGAGCTCGCGATTTATGACGGGGGGGGGGGTTTGCCACGAAACCGGCATTTACAACAAATGCTTTAACCACCGCATTTGCTTAATGAACGACTCTGGGTCCGCTTAACAACCGTGCTGCTTTTGTTTAACGACCTCTGCAGAAAAAGTCACAAAACGGGGCCGGCTACGTCGATGACCTGCTTTACGGCCACGACAGGCTCCATTAGGGATGTACGCCGAGGACGACCGATAGCGTTCCATTAGGAACGTAAATGCGAGGACTGTCATAGCATGCTGGCTGTGAAGAGACCTGCCTCCCTCCATTTGTTTTCTAGCTTCCGGGAGGAGAGGGGGAAAAGGAACTCCACCAGCCCAGGCTGGGGTAGAAGGCAGCTACCCCAGACCTCCTCCCAAAGGGTTCCCAGCTCCCCCTTTACCTGTTCCAACTCCTTCAGAAAGGTGTGCTGAAGAGTCCCTTCCTTTGGGGGCTTTGAGACGTGTAGGTGGAGGCTGCTCCCTCTCCCCAGAGTGTCCAGGCAGAGGACAAACGCCACATTATCCTGCAGCAGACTGAAATCTGGAATCAGAGAAGGCTACACGATGACAGGTAGCCCTCGACTTACAACGGCTTGCTTAGTGGCCGTTCAAAGTCGCCACGGCACTGAAAAAAGGGACTTAGGCCTGTCTGCCACACTGTGGCAGCATCCCCCGTGGTCACGTGATACGCATTCAGATGCTTGACAACTGACTCACACTTATAACGGTTGGAGCAGTGGGGGCGAACCTATGGCACGCGTGCCAGAGGCGGCACTCAGAGCCCTCTCTGTGGGCACGCTCACCATGCCCCGGAGATGGCAGCCGTCCCTCTTCAACCAGCCGCACAGTAACTCGCCGAGGTCCCACATGGCTGGATGCATCCCAGCACCCATGCTCTCGCTGGCCTGTGTGTGGGGGCCGATGGTGTCTGGCAGCAGCTGCCCCGGGCCCTGCCTCACCTTGCCCTGTGACAATGGCACCCCCGCCCTGCCTTGCCTCACCCCGCAGGACGAGCCTCCTGCCCACTGCTCCACCTGCCAGAGACCCCCTGGATCTCCCCCAACCCTGCCCGGCCCCTACAGGTGTCCCTCCCCACGAGCAACATTGAGGTGATCACGCCCACCTTGGCCCCACCCACCCAATCTGCCATGACTGCCACAGCCACGCTCACCCAGTGGGCCACGCCCACCTGACACCCGGCGATAAATAAGTGGGTTTTGGGTTGCAGTTTGGGCACTCGGCCTTTAAAACGTTCACCATCACTGGGTTGGAGTGTCCTGGGGGGTGTCACGTGATCCCCTTTTTGCGACCTTCTGGCGAGCAAAATCAATGGGGAAGCCAGATCCACTTAACAACCGTGTTCCTAACTTACCAACTGCAGTGATTCTCACTTGACAGCTGAGGCAAGAAATGGGGCAAAATTCACTTAACCAATGTTAAGAGGCAAAAATTGGGGGGGGGGGGGGTCAATTGTGGGTCGTTAAGTCGAGGACTACCTGTGCCCGTGAACACACACCAAGAAACCTGGGCACAGAGGCAGGTCTTTACGGTCTTGTGGAACGCCTGCAGGATCGAGACCGTCTCGATTTCAGGAGGAGGAATGTTCCAGAAAATGAGTTTTTAACAGCACAAAGGCCACATCTCAGCCCCACCAACCTGCATTCCTGAACTGATAAGACCTAAAACACGCCCGCCCTGTCTAACTGGGTGAGCAGGTGGAAACAACGGCCCCTCAAGTCACCTGGTCCCAAGCCAGGAAGGGTTTTTAAGTGACCACCAGCACCCTGAATCGCATCCGGAAGCCCACTTGGGACCCAGACAGCTCACGGAGTAGAGTTGTTACAATGTGGGCCAAATCACTGTCACCATTTACTACCTACGCTTCTGCATTCTGTACTTGGAAGCTTCTGAGTGGACTTCAAAGACAGCCCCAGGTAGAGCATACTGCAGGAGATCACGAGGGCCTAAATTTGACAGTGAACAGGGCCTCCCGACGGGTCCCTACAGGTAGTTTTCGGCTTACAACTGTCCCTGTTGTGACCATGGCACTGAAAAATGTGGCTTGTGAGCGGTTTTCACACCATGATCAAAATTTGGTCACGCGATCAAAATTTGCTGGGCAGCTGGCACGTATTTATGACAGCGGCACTATCTTGAGGTCATGCGATCACCATTTGTGACCTTCCCAGCAGGCTTCTGACAAGAGTCAACGGGGGAAGCCAGATTCGCTCAATGACTAAATGATTCACGTAGCAACTGTGGCAAGGAAGATCGTCAAATGGGGACCAATCTCACTTAACAACTGCCTGGCTTCACAACAGAAATGTTGGGCTCAAGTGTGTCTTGGCGTATTCGGGTCTTTTCTCGTGTAAGATTGAGAGTATCTTGGCGACGTTTCGACGAGGTCCCACTCGTCATCTTCAGGCTGGGATCTTCGGCTTTGTGCTTGTGCGAGCAAAGTGTGATCGGAGCTGCCGTCTCTCTATAAATATTGGTGGGGGTGTGTGGAGTGCTGGCTTAGTTGCTGTAGGTGGATTGGTTGGCTGTGTGGGAGCTATTGTTTGCGGATTATTCAGCTGTTTCGTAACATCCTGAGTAGCCAGCACCTCAACTACTCAGGATGTTACAAAACAGCTGAACAATCTGCAAACAATAGCTTCCACACAGCCAACCAATCCACCTACAGCAACTAAGCCAGCACTCCACACACCCCCACCAATATTTATAGAGAGACAGCAGCTCCGATCACACTTTGCTCGCACAAGCACAAAGCCGAAGACCCCAGCCTGAAGATGACGAGTGGGACTTTGTCGAAACGTCGCCAAGATGGTTCTAATTTGGCTGGATGCAGGGGTGAGGAACCTTGGCTCTTTTATAACTTGTGGACTTCAACTCCCAGAATTCCTGAGCCAGCCATGCTGAGGGGACAGGGAGAGGTTTCCAAGCTGAGCCATGCCGGCTCAGGAATTCTGGGAGTTGAAGTCCACAAGTCATAAAAGAGCCAAGGTTCCCCACCCCTGCTTTAGCCTATCATCAGCCACCCGGAGTCATCCTGGCGAGATGGGCGGCCATAAAAACCGAATTAAATGAATAAACAATTGAAAGATGAAAAGCGAGGATTGTCGCCAGGCCCATTAACACCTAAAATAGGCCAAGCTCTACCCTCTTCTCAGTGGTGGGATTCAAATACCTGAACAACCGGTTCTCATATTTGATGCAGGCCTGGGCCTCCGATGCCTAGAACAGACTTCCGGAAGTGGCCTCATGCACTTCCGGTGGCATGTTCTAGGCCTAGAAGGCCTCCAGGCCTCCGATGCCTAGAACGGACTTCTGGAAGTGGCATCCACACACTTCCAGTGGTCTGTTCTAGGCCTGGGAGGACTCCTCCAGGCCTCCGAGGCCTAGACTGGACTTCTGGAAGCCAGCCGGTTCTCCGAATTCAGATAAATTTAGCTACCAGTTCTCCCGAACCGGTGTGAACCGGCTGAATCCCACCCCTGCCTCTTCTGCCACTTAAAGCAGATTGTCAGGCCTCTGTCCAACAGCCCCTTTCCTCTCTTTGGCTACTTCATAAGCAAGGCCAGAATTTTCCCCATAAACCCCAAACATATATAAAAGAATGCAATCATCTCCGTTCACACCTGTGTGGTCCAGGTTGTCTTCCAGCCACCGCTTCGTTCCCTGATAGTTAAACTTGCCGCCTCCGGATGCGAAGAACAGCAAGTTGTACCTGTGCAGAGAAGAGAGAGGCGAAGGGATGCATTTCTATTGGGGAAATGCGCATCCACCATCTCGCCTTGTTTGAGTTTCCCTACCCCAAAGCCGGTCCCGTTCTTACGCAGCGTGGGTCCTCTTGTACGTGTAGAGCCGGGAGAACAACCGGGCGAGTTCTAAGAGTACCGCAACCCCACTGCCGTTGGAGTCAGCCCCGTGGGACAGCCACTGGAAGACAAAAGAAGGTCTTTAGCAAAGGCTGAGCAGTGTCATGGTCCCGATAGATGAAACCAATTAAAAGAACTTCAAGGCAAAGATGTCTTCCTTAAAGAAGATTATTTAATATTGCATGTGTTGACAGCCGCAAGAATAATATTTGCCCAATTTTGGAAAAATGAAAATTTACCATCTGACCAGACTATAATAACAAAAATACTCGAACGTGCAGAAATGGATAGATTAACTTTAGAAATGAAAGAGAAAGAAGACACAATTTATTTTAAAACATGGGGAAAATTTTATTATTGGTTAGAAACACGCTAGAATGAGAAAAGGTTATGAAATTTAAAGAGATAATTGGTAATTTGTATTTATATTCCATGATTATTTGTATGAATTTGTTCTTATTTCTTCTTCCTCTTTGTATATTTGTGATCTTAAACAATATGGTAAACTATAATTAATATGTAATATACTATTATTTTAAAGTTATTATAATTAATTAATACTAAGCATTGTTAAGTAGTGAAATGAATGAGATTTATTGACTAATTTGTTATTTACATGATTATATTGAAAGTTGTTTAATAATAGAGTAATTATTAAGATTTAATTTGTAAACCCAGACTGGTAGACTTGCTGAAGCAATGTTATTTTGTGGGATTAATCCCACTTTTGTGTTACCCCTTTCCCCTGGTCTAACCTTTTTGTATGTTTCCCTTTGTCTTATCCTTTTTGACCCTATCCCTTTATTACCTTTATAAAACTCAATAAAAATATTTATAAAAAAAAAGAAAAGAAAAAAGAAGATTTTATTCAGGAAACAAAGTATCGGCACTTACATAGTTGAACCCAAGACTACAGTGTCAACACTGCCGGCGTGCCTGGCTAGGGAATTCTGGGAGTTGAAGCCCACACGTATGTTACGGTTCTCAGAGTCCTGCTTGGTCCTATTCCTAAATAGTTCCATTATCTTTAGCAAATAAGAGGCGATTCCTTCATCTCTGTCTCTCAAAACCGGAGTGCAGGGGTATTCAACCTTGGCTCTTTAAGGACTTGTGGACTTCAACTCCCAGAATTCCCCCAGAAACAAAGAAACAAGTTGCAATTCCCAGCCCGGAAAGGCTGTCATAAATCACATTCACCAATTAATCCAAAACCCGGGCTCTCCTCCCAACTTCTCAGCCCGGCCAAAACTTTATCTCACACTGGCCTTGAGTTCACACACAGCTGCAATTGCTATGGCAGCTTCTACATCTAAAATCCCCAAAGTTTTCTCAATTATTCGCAGTGTTGACAAGCAGGATATTTGGGAACGGAGAGCGAAGGTTTCTCAAATCTGGTGACTTTGAAGAAGTGGGGACTTCAACTCCCAGAATGCCTGAGCCGGCACCTGTGGGCTTCAACTCCCCGATGACGACGGAAGCATTCTGGGAGTTGAAGTCCACCTATCTTAAAAGTGGCCATGCTGGGACAAAATGTGGACATAAAGGGATGGGAAGGGTAGGAAGAGAGTGTGAGCGAAGGACGCTGCAGACAGCAAGCGAATTAAAGCCCGTCCACACGGAGGGCACAAGAGTTTCATTCATCCGGACGCCCGCTGGACCCGGAAGCCTTAAAAATTCAGAAATTCAAGGAAGGCAATCGATGGGAACCGAGTCAGCAGGTGTGGGCAACCTCGGCTCTTTTATGACTCGTGGACTTCAACTCCCAGAATTCCTGCTGGGGCGGGGGATGGGGGGCAGAGCGGGGGCACAGCAGGGGGTGGAGTGGGGGTGGGACCAGTTTTTGGGCACTCGGTCTCTAAAAGGTTCGCCATCACTGGCCTAGAACAGAGGTAGTCTTTTATGACTCGTGGACTTCAACTCCCAGAATTCCTGAACCAGCATGGCTCAGCTTGGAAACCTCTCCCTTTCCCCTCAGCATGGCTGGCTCAGGAATTCTGGGAGTTGAAGTCCACCAGTCATAAAAGAGTCAAGGTTGCCTACCCCTGACATAGGGGGATGGGGGCTGATGGAATTTTGGAACCAGGTCCTATCTTTTTTGGCGGGGAATGGAAAGTCCATTGTAGTGACTGCTAAGCAACTGGTCGTAAGTCAAGGACTACCTATAATTAATATGCCTGGCCTCAGTGCTTTTTTTCTAAAAAAAAAAAAGGTGCCGGAACTCACACACGTCATACAACCCGCCTTGCCTACCCTACAAGGTTCCATCCAAAAAAGGTGCCGGAACTCCGTTCTGGCCATTCTATGACAAAAAAGAGCCCTGACAACAACTGAGTCCAAAATTACTGTCGTGAGGTGAATTTTGCCCCATTTTACAACCTTCCTTGCCCCAGTTGTTAAGGGAATCACTGCAGTTGTTTAATTAGTAATATGGCTGTTAATTGAGGCTGGCCTTCCTCACTGACTCTGCTTGTCAGAAGGTCGCAAAAGGGGATCACATGATCCCCGGGACACTGGCAACCGTCGTAAATATGAGCCAGTTGCCAAGTCTCTGAATTCTGATCACGTGACCGTGGGGGAATGCTGCGACGGTTGTTAAGTGTGAAAAACGGTCCTAAGTCACTTTTTTCAGTGCTGTTGAACGGTCACTAAACGAACTGTTGTAAGTCGAGGACTACGACATAAACTCTTTCCCGTGAGAACAAGCAAAACCATATGTTTAGTCTTTGGGTTTTGTCTTGTTCGTAGTGGAACCCTACACGTTTTGTAAGACTCGTGTTTCATACGACCAAAGACTCCTCTTCCCCCTTCCACAGGCCCACACTTGCTTCGGGTCCTTAAGGAAGACCTATAAACACAGGTACCTACCCTTTTTGTATAACAAATCAGGCCCCCATCAGGCTGAATCGTGACTGGGAAGGAGAAATAAAAGCAGGAAAGAAACAAGGATGGGAGTTTTTTCCCCTTAGCAATGACACATAAAGGGGGGAAGCAAAGAAGCTGGGGAGATTGGGTTGCAAGCCTAGAGGCCAGCCAGAGGAGCAGTGCAAGACATACACAACCGGCAACAGCTGTGAGGTGTGTCTTGCTCCCAAACCCAGATCAAGTAAAACGCTCCTGGTTCTTTTACAGCCGGATTACAGCAGCTTGGCAGAACATTCAGCAGATAAACAGTTTATTTAAGATTAGGAACAGAACGTATTTTCCATTCTGTACAAACCCCTATCCTGCAAATTATCTTGGCGGCTACCCGGCTTAATTCCTCCCCACCTGTTGAGGCCACTGGAGTTCAAGGGGACGGATCCGGAATCAGCCTTGGTTTAGGCAGGGCTCCATCCATAAGACCTGTGTCAAAGATGGAGCCGTCTAGTTCACAGGTGGCTGTTGGTTTACCTCAGGAATCTCGGGCATGCAGTTACAAGGATACTCTGCTATCAAAGTCCCCACTGGGAGCAACCGCCTCCCAGCGCTTTATACACACACACGCTAAATAACCCCACCCCACCCCCGCCCACCTAACCAACATCCGGACGTGTAGGCTCAAAGGGTCAGCTGCAACGCCCAGGAGCCTTTCCGCTCCGCTCCGCGCGTCCTCGTCCCAGCCAGCTTCAGACCGCTTCAGCAGCCTCCGATCCCAGCCGTTCCTCAGTTCCAAATCCAGCTGCCACATCAGCTGTCCGGCGGCCCGTCAGCTGTTCGGCGGCCACTCTACCGGCGCTCCCCGGCCTATTGGCGAGCCGGCGGCCCATCAGCTGTTCGGTGGCCGAGGGACGCCGCCAGGACCACTAGCAGGCATGCGCCCGGCTCGTCAGCTGTTCGGCGGCCAAGGGACGCCGCCAGGACCACCAGCAGGCATGCACCCGGCTCGTCAGCTGTTCGGCAGTCGAGGGATGCCGCCAGGACCACCAGCAGACATGCGGCCGGCTAGTCAGCCGCTCGGTGGCCGAGGACTCCAACAGGCTGGAAGCAGGTGGGCTTGCTGGTGCTGGCTGCCGCCGTCCTCCGCCCTGCACGCCGTCCTTGCCCTCCCCCCACCTGTCCATGTTGAGCCCGGAGGGCTTGACAACCTGGGGTAGGCAACAGTGGCAGCTTTTTACGACCCATAGATTTCAACTCCCAGAATCCCTGAGCCAGCTGGCTCTGGGATTCTGGGAGTTGAAGTCCACAGGTCGCAAAGTTGCCACAGTTGCCCCCACCCACCCCCTTCATAAGACCTCCGTTTTTAAATTGCTGGGGAGAGGAAAGAGGGGAGAGATTTCTGAGAGGCTGAAAAATAGAAATGGGCGGTGGGGGGGAGACCAGAGTACAGGTAGTCCTCAACTTGCGACCGGTTGCTTAGAGACCGTTCGAAGATACAACAGACTTATCTGGAAGTTACTGACAACCCAGAACCAGAGTCCCGATCGTCGTGCTTCCCCCCAGAGTCACGTGATCAAATTCGGGGCGCTCAGCAAGTGGGCTGCCTTTATGAATGTTTGCAGTGCCCCGTGGTCACAGGACCACATTTTACTTATTAAGTTTATATGCTATTCATTTCCTTGATAAGGTGACTCTGAGCGACCTTATGAGAGTTTTGTCAAAAAAAAAAAAAAGCCCCAGCATTTACTTCCGGTTTTCGTCAAAACTGCCCCCATAGTGAACCACTGGTTCACTTAATATATAAAATGGAGCTGGAAGGGACCTTGGAGGGATGTATCGGAACTTTTTCCCCATTGCCGGCAATGGGGTGGGCGCGGTTTCCTCGTGACGCGCACGGCCTGCGGGCTGGCAGTTTGACACCCCTGCTATAGGGCATTGCACACCAAAACAACTAGACACAAAGATATTTTTTTCCGATAGATAGATAGATAGATAGATAGATAGATAGATAGATAGATAGATAGATAGATAGATAGATAGATAGATAGACAGACCGATAAATACCAATAAATAGGTAGGTAGGTAGGTAGGTAGGTAGACAGACCTAGATGACAGACAGACAGACAGACACCGGTAGATAGATAGATGATAGATAGATAGATAGATAGATAGATAGATAGATAGATAGATAGATAGATAGATAGATAGATAGATAGATAGATAGATAGATAGATAGATACCAATAAATAGGTAGGTAGGTAGGTAGACAGACCTAGATGATAGACAGACAGACAGACAGACAGACAGACAGATACCGGTAGATAGATAGGTAGGTAGGTAGGTAGGTAGGTAGACAGACCTAGATGATAGACAGACAGACAGACAGATAGATACCGGTAGATAGATAGATATTTATTAGATTAGATAGATAGATAGATAGATAGATAGATAGATAGATAGATAGATAGATAGATAGATAGATAGATAGATAGATAGATAGATAGATAGATAGATATAGATAAATACCGATATAGACAGACCTAGATGATATAGATAGATAAGATATAGACACAGACAGATCGACAGACCTAGATGATAGATATAAATACCGATAAATACGGATATAGACAGACCTAGATGATAGATAGATAGGTAGGTAGGTAGGTAGGTAGATAGATCTGCTGAACACCTAATTCCCACAGCACTATCTTAGGTCTAAGGATATTTACCCATGTAATAGGGCCGTATTGCTATTCTTCTTCTCATCTTTCTCATCCTTCCTACGACCTTCTCGTATTGGTATCTTATGATTTGTCGCTTGTTTTACGATTAATGATTGTAACCGCGATTTATGATCGATGGCCTATCATTGGTGGCTTGTACGTACACTGAGAGCTTATGCACCAGAGACAAATTTCCTTGTGTGTCCAATCCCACTTGGCCAATAAAAAATTCTATTTTAACTATTTTACACATGTTTAAAATGATGAATGGTGTTTTACAGGAACACTAGAGCTTAGCGGCCACAATCCAAATTTGGTCTGTCGCATCCAAAATCTGTAAAATGGAAGCTTTTTTTAAGTGGAAGGTGTAGTGTTCAAAAGACTTGGCAACAATGTAAACAGCAGTTGCTATGAACTCAAATCAGTGAGCCAAGCTGCATCATACTGAAAGTGCCTAAAACATGGATCTTTGCCAGCAGGTCCTTACCGGTGCAACTCCAAAAGAGTCGTAATGAGCAACTAGGACGATGGTAGGCAGGTCTTCTCCTCCCAGGCCTGTCAGCCGCCCCTTGTAAGGAAAGAGATAAAATAAGAGCTGCTGCAAAATCATTCCAGATCAGTACAAGACATGTTTCCTCTTTAAGATTGACATCTGTGACATATAAAGGGCTTTAAACTTGTTGAAAAGGGGCTAAATGTGTTTAAAATCCAACACTGGCTCCCTTTCCTGATTCCTTCACTTACTATATTCTGCTGGATAAGGCATCAGGTAGAAAACCAGGAGACTGTGAGTTCCAGTCCCATCTTAGGCATGAAAGCTGGCTGGGTGACTGTGGGCCAATTCACAGGAGACAGTGAGTTCTCGTCTCGGCATAGGCATGAAAGTCGCCTGGATGCCCATGGGCCAATCACCAGGAGGCGGTGAGTTCTAGTCCTGCCTTAGGCATGAAAGATGGCTGGGTGACTTTGGGCCAATCACCAGGAGTCTAGGAGTTCTAGTCTTGCCTTAGGCATGAAAGATGGCTGGGTAACTGTGGGCCAATCACCAGGAGACGGTGAGTTCTA